CGGATTTCCTTCTTCTCTGGTAGATTTTCTTTAAAAACTCGCCTGATTGCTTCAATTATACTGGGTTCCTCCTCTTTCTCTGTCTCGACTCTCCTTATTCTAGGCTGGCTCCTGCAGCTCTGCTTTGCCGCCTCGAATTCCAAAGCTCGAGCCAATGCATCAACCAGTTGGCTCGAACGAGCCAGTGTTAGAGCCTGTTTTGTTTCGTTATCCCGAAGTCCATCCAAAAAGGCTTTAACCGCTAATCGTTCCATAACGGTCGTTAGAGTAGCTGGATATGCTAGCCGCACCAAGCGTGGAATATCACCCTCGAATTCTTGTAAAGTCTCGTTTGATTTCTGGCAGCGGTTCTTTAGTTGGGAATGGTACACATGTTCCAGATGTGTCTGGCCATATCGCAGTTCCAGGTGTTTCACCAAGGCTTCGTAATCTTCTTGTTCGTTTGGAGAAAGTGTCTGCAAGATGTCCGTTGCATCTTCGCGTAAAGCAAGAGTTAATGCTGTAGCCTTCTCCTCTGGTAGCCAACCATTTGCTTTTGCTGCTGCCTCGAACTGACGGATGTAGTTGGTCCAAGAAGTTTTTCCATCAAACTGAGGTGGTTTCTTTTTGAATCGGCTCCCCTCCTGCACTGTTCCTGGTTCCGCCAGCATCATGGGTAGATTTACAGCTTTCAATTTACTATTTATTTCTTCAATTTTGACTTTCAATTTCTCGTTCAATTTTTCTTCTCTTGTATCTAATTCCCTCATTACGTTATTCAATTCCATCCTTACATCGTCAACTTTCTGTCCTACTTTCTCTTCTAATTCCATCCTTACATCCTCAACTTTTTGTCCCACTTTCTCTTCTAATTCATTGACATTTTCTAGAATCTTCTGTTCCAAATATTCCTTTAAATTTTTAGAATTTTCCAGAATTTTCTGCTGCAGTTCGCTAGAATTTTCCAGCATTTTCTGTTGCAAATCGTCCTTTAAATCGTTGACATTTTCTAACATTTTCTGTTGTAACTCGTTAGAATTTTCTAAAATTCTCTGTTGTACTTCGCTAGAATTTTCCAACATTTTCTGTTGCAAATCGATTTTTAGTTCTTTAGAATTTTCTAGAATTTTCTGTTTTAAATCATTTAAATTTTGCAACATTAAATGCATATCACACGGGCCTTCAAATAAATACGTATCTGGATTTTCACCTTCCTGTTCCAACGCTTCTCGAAGCCGCTGCTGCAACACATTCTTTTTTCCAGTTGTTTCACATTCCCTTTCTTCTAGCTCCCGCTTAAGGTCCGCCACTCTTAAGTCCATTAACGAAACCATTTTTACGAAAATTCACACTAACCCCACATCTGACACCAATTGTAACGTTTTTAACTGTTCGTAGTGTGAAATAAAATATGCACTGGTTAATTAACGAACTAAACTATTTATTTAATAACTTAACTACACTTAAAACACTATAAAACTAACTAAACACTTAACTACTAATTATTTATATCACTACTAGTTTATTTATTTGCACTTATATTTATTTATTTCTTCGGGAGTACCAAAGCTCAACTAACTCTCCATGATGCGTCGTTCCTTATATATTCAGCGCATACGTCTTCTGGAACATTCTAGTGAGCCCCACACTCTCGATTATTCGAGCGCTGAGTCACCGGCGATGACTCACCGGCGATGACTCATCGGCGATGAGTCATCACTCCGATATCCAGAGCGGTACTCACTACAATACTTTAATTACACCTTAAAGTTCTACAAGACCGGGATTATTATTTCAAAATTCTTCAAAAATAGTACAGAGTATCTTGGTTATAAAATTAAAGCAAGCGAACACTACGTAATTGTCGTAAAATTAAAGCACGTCTCTCAGCTGAGACAGTTCATTGGCCTCGCATAATATTTTCGACAATTTGTACCAAAATTAATTTGTCTCAGATAATAAAACCTCTATTAATTAACTACAGGTAAAATTAAATTAAGTCACTAAAGCCAGTCCCTTTGAACTTTTGACTAGCAAGATAGCTAGGCCTTTCTGATTGATGTCTGTTGCTGATAAATAATCCGAAATTAATATCTATTACTAACGTAAGAAATCGCGCAAGTCAAAATAAAAGTGTTCCATTGCATGATAAGTCTAGATTTAATAATAATAAAGTTAAAAAAAATAGATTTAACGTAGGTGACCATGTTTACCTAAAAATGAAAAGTTAAATTAAACTAAAAATTAAAATAAACTTGATCTAAAGTTTAGACGACCATTTCTGATAGCAGAAGTTTTAGAAGGTGATAAATACCTTAAACTCTAACAAATAATAGATCTTACAAGTATTCACACGATCACTTGAGAAAAATGCCTTACAACCAGGTCCCCAGTGAGTTAGAGAGTTCTAACGAGGAAAACACTCAGAGAGGTGTTGTAGCTCAAGGTGTTGAAAGAGACATCGCAGCTAAAGGTGTTGCAAGAGACACCATAGCTCAAGGTGTTGAAAGAGACACCGTAGCTGAAGGTGTTGCAAGAGACACCGTAGCTCAAGGTGTTGAAAGAGACACCGTAGCTAAAGGTGTTGCAAGAGACACCGTAGCTCAAGGTGTTGAAAGAGACATCGCAGCTAAAGGTGTTGCAAGAGACACCGTAGCTCAAGGTGTTGAAAGAGACACCGTAGCTGAAGGTGTTGCAGAAGACACGGTAGCTCAAGGTGTTCAAAAAAAAAAAAAAAAACGCAACTGCAAGCCTAAAGTGGTTTGATCAGGGCGCGATGGGCAGCTGGTGATGTAGCGGGGGTCTAGTATGTATTTTAGTGAATTTTCTTGTTATCGAAATGGACTTTTAAACTAAGAGCATTGTTAGTTGTGTAAATTGCAAAAGTGGTGTTAAAACCTTAAATCTAAATATTGTAATTGCATCCGAGGACGTGTGATCGTCAGTATGGCCGTGTCGGAGAATAGACATTAATTTGATTGACGTGTTTATTAAAATAACAATTTGGTAAAATAAGCAATGTTGTTTATCATAAATAAGACTTAAGAAATAGATTTTAGTCTGCAGTCCGATAAGGATGCATTAGTGAAGGTGATGACTAACGATCACCAAACGTAGCCACGGTCTCATGGGAACGTAGAGATAAAGATCCAAAAAGGTGAATATGTACCAACCCTCGGGGGGTTTGATGGCCATTCTTAATAGGGCGGGAAGACAGTAAAGACGCGTGTAAACCCGGAGACCGCGGATTCGTTATAATCGTTAGTTTCATACTTTAATTTAATTTGTTCGTATAATCTTTAGCGTCTATCGTTTTGTCTAATTAGATATTCATAATTAAATGTACTAATTGTCGAGAATCAGTGTTTGAGTGTTGTGAATTATGTCCAAGTCCAAGTAATGCGGCCCCCAAAAACACCGATTCCGTATTTATTAATCAAACGGTTTGTGTTAATAAAAAGTTTTATTAAAAACATTCGTATTTTATTCGCTTGTAATTTTTTTTCATGAAAAACAATTGTTTCTTGTAAATACTGGGTGATTCCATATAAGTTTGGTTGTGTGTATATATATACAGTGTGTTCGTAAAGTCGCGGAACATGAGATTATTTTAAAAACAGTATTTTTAAAAAAAAAACGCTGAAACACGTCAACTTTGTTATTTTTCTAGCAATATTTTGGCATATGTAGTTATTCCAAATTCTGCCGCGTGGCGGAGCCACAATCAAAGTCAGTTTTTTTAAATTGCAACCCTTTATTTTTGTTGCATTTTTATAATTATAATTAAAAAAAACCTTACTTCGATTGCCACGCGGCAGATTTTGGAACAACCATATAGGCTAAAATATTGCTAGAAAAATAACAAAGTTGACGTGTTTTAGCGTTTTTTTTTAAATATACGTTTTCAAAATAATCACATGTTCCGGGACTTTACGGACACACTGTATATATATATATTGGAATAAACAGGCGACGCTGAACAAAAAATATAAACAAATATAAACAAAAGCACGATACGTTGATTCCAATGGTTGTCAAAGTTGGCTTTAGTCATCTATTGTCTTTATAGAAAAACTATTTACCACCTGTAAATTGTGGAGAGTTATTTAATTATGTCATAGAATGCCATAGATGGCGACAAATTTTATTACTAACATATACTTCCACACGTGTTTTAAATATATGATTACTAAAGACTGTTAAAAAGTCTGAAATTACCATATTGTATACATATATATGGAAATTACTTTACTTAATAATAATTTTCAAGCATTATTTTACAAACTTAATATAATCCCGAGTATAATCCATAATCCATAATTGTTTATAATAAATATTTAGATAGCAAAAACACAATTACTTTTTTTATTAGGTTTTCACTAGTTTTGTAATTTGTGGTCCTCGTACACGCCAAGGGCGTCTAGACGAAAAAAGAGCATGAAAGCAGGGTCTAATTAAAAATAATTTACTTTTCCGCAATGAAAAATATATTTTTACTGAAAAATTAAAAGAACCTATTTTAGGCTCATAAAAATGTACTTTTAGGACAATAAATCAAAATTTCGCCATTTTAGACTTTTAGGCAAAAACAAAGGGGTGTCAAACGCTTTATTTTTTTAAGTTTAGGATTAATTTCAAGGTCCCAAACAAATGCCTAAAATAGAAACAAAAAGGCATTTTGCCTAAAATCCGGAGATAAGTTATTTCTTGCACATGATAAAAATACAATATATTATATTAAATTTTGATTTATATTTTTTTAAATTTATTTATAAAATAAGTTGCGAACAATGCAGAATATAAGTATTATAAGTATTATAAGCTTTTTAGTTAGGTACATAAATGTACAGTGATTTTTTTAGCAACTACTTGGTGATTTTAAATCGGTAGTTTTTCAGACATTATACACTGTTCATAGAAATTTCTTTAAATATTTTAACTGGTAGAATATTGGAACAGCTTACATAATATAATATTAGAATATTATGACTACTTGAATACTTATTTAAAAACGTCATTACCTGTGGCATACTCCTTCTGCCAGAAGGAAAAACCAGATGCTCGATGTTGCGTGTGTATCCTGGATCCATCCTGACAAAATCCTGGACAGTCATTTTTAGACTGGAACCACTTTTCGAAGTTTGTTGTTTTAATCCAGACTTGCGTTTCGTGTTTTGAGGTCGTTGGATGTTTGAACATTCTGGCTTCTTATGTCGTTCACGATCTTCTCTACTCATTGTGTTTATTTTTATATGTGTTTTTTAAGTACTAATGCATCTGAAACAAAGGTATCAATTTAAAGTGCAACTCTATTAACTGCAGAAAAATAAATCCAACTACATTTACTTTTAACTATTTAATGAATAATTAGCTATTTTAATTACATTTTACATATCTCCGGGACAGTAATTACTGTCCCGGATATATGTAAAAGTATTCTTAGTGACGTTCCGTCCTTATCTTTAATTAAAAGTAGCCTTTTGTGCTGGTAAAAACTCATAAAGTCAAGCTCAAAAAGTATTTATTTCTGATATTACATTGGTAGGCTTATGTTATTTAAATATAATTAAAATTTTGATTCAATAAAAATGTTGTACACATTAAATTTAAAAAAAAGTCTTAAAATTGTTAAAAATGGCGGTTTATTACCAAAAGTTAATTTAAATCAATCAATCCTGGAATAATTAAATGTTAATTAATTAATTAATAAGAACTTAAGTATATAGTCCAGGAAACAAAGATTGTAGAAGGAAAACTCGATGGTAGTCGGGTTTTATATTTTTTTATGTAGAGTCAGGGGTGCTGATAATAAATCAATAATATTTTTGATTATCGTAAGGTTTGGGATCGAATACTTTTAAAATAAACAAATGGCAAGCTAATATTTCAGTGTGTAGAAAATTTACGTATGTATAGTTAAAATTCTTCTGGATTCTCGGCCAATAACAGTGTGGTATATTGATCTATTACTCGCTTTATTATTTTAGCGAAAAATAAAGTGATTTTATGGAAGATTTAAAAAATACATCATAAAGGGTGTTTTTTAGGCATTGAACATTAAAATAAATTAAAAATCATGGCAATGGCCATGCAAAAACTGAAATCAAAACTTTATATTCTTTCACTGGAAAGGCTCGTGCAGCTCCAGACAAAAGTAAATGAACCCCCAACATCAACAAAGCCCCAACAGTATTAGAGCTCTCTAGAAACGAACTTGTCCTCAAAATTGCTTTTTTCCCCAAGGCAAAATGATGTAAAACTTTTTACTTACAAACGAAGTAAAAAATTATAGACCTCAAAGTAAAATTGATTTATTTGTCCCCAGTAAAAATCTAAATTATTACAGTATATAGTATAGTAGTAGTATAGTAAACCAAAAAAATAACAAAATTAAAGCAATGAACACCTCGTTATAAACGCCAACCATAAACTACCAACACGTTCTTTTCAAAAAACACAAAACTATTGAATTGAATTGAAACTATTGCTGCGCGTCGTGAGTGAAATGGCAACCCAAAGCTTCTATTTCCAATCGAACCACGTCCTTAAAATAGCACTCCCAAACTAAAACTAACGCTCTCCCAAATGTTTTGTCAAAGCTATTACAACCAGCTTCAGCCGGCAAAAATCTAGATATACATACATACAAGAATCGCACTTTAATATATTAGTGTACGCTAGTGCTTTTGGTATTATTAAAAATCGGTCAAATATCAGGGGTGAGTTCATGTCATGGATTATCCAATATACCTAATATTGTACAATTATTAAACTATAATACCAAAAGTTACTAAGAAGGTTTTTTCTTAATAGAGAATCTTTATTAGAGATAGACAAAATATTCAAGGAATCAACAGGTTTTTTTGTAGACGTTTAAAAAATATTTTGCTCAATATTACTGCACAAAAAAATGATTTTTGGCAATCAGACAATATAAATAAATTAGGCAATATTGTCAACACACTGTTGCTTAATACAACATATTATGCAATAATATTGATAGTGTAGGAACCTCCTTAAACCTTATAGTGTATAGCAAAAGTTACAATATTTAATTTTGGTATTAAATTTGTTATGGTGCGGTCAACAGAACTATGGAGCCTACGTTCCGAAATCACGTGATTTTGATAAGTAATTTTTTAGGAACGGAACGATTTGGTACGTTCCGGATTGGGAACCGTTTTTTCCATCACTAGTTCATGAAGCTTTACTCGAGTAGAGTTAATTTGGCGTCGTGTAAACTCATAGTGCTTGATTTATATTATGCCGTCATGAACGACTCTGAGTAAAACCAACTTAACCTTAATTTCTGACATTTTAAATTTGATTTATGCATAAATCACATGTAAACTTAAATCATATTTTATTATATTTAATATGGCTAGAGTTAAAAAACTTCACTTTAATTGTCTCATTTGTGGTATCTTTATCATCTATAATAGATTTTTCTGGTTGCAGCCATTGAAGTTGTTTAACTAAAATGTTTATTTTTTTACTTATATTACTTTATATATAAAATAAAAGTAATTATGGGAAATACATACGCATATTTTCTTGAACCAGTAACAATCCGTCTTCGTTATAGATGATATTACCCTCAGGGTCAGTCACAATGGTATAATTATCCATTATTTAATTAATTTAGCAACCATATAACAAATAGCAACGATTTTTATATAAACACAAACACAAATAACCTCAATTCAAATTCAAATTTGACAATAACATACTACAATGCGCATGCGGAGTTATTTTAACTCACCTACAAGAGGTGGGTTAAAAATGTAACGATTTAGTCAAGTTAAAGTGTAGATACCGCTGTTGTAATAAACGTTTTGAGTTAACTCCGAGTGAATCGAGTTAACGTCATGAACGCACTCCATAGCTGGCCAACTACTGAGTACTTTTAATCGTATTTCAATTACGAGTAAAAAAGTAGGAGTACTTTTTTCCTAATAAGTATTTTTCATTTGAAATACTTATTACTCGTACAAACCAAATTAAATGTACTCGTAAAAAATACTCGTGGAAATCAGTAATATACAGGGTGTCCTGAAATTAGTGCACCATACTTTAACAGCAGATTGTAGGTGCAAAAATAAGAAAAAAAGTCCCTATAAACATAGGTCAAGAAATGCCTACAGCCCCCAAAAGGAAAGCCCCTGAAGATGTTTTTTATTTAATATCTCCAAAACCGTTAAAGATATAAAAGTGAATTTCAGGGAATTAATTAAACTTTTTATGACCAATAAGACGTAACAATAACAATTTAAATTTTTTTATGAGATTTGGATCAGATTGATAGGAAGTAGGGTTGAACTTTGATAACATTCACCGTTTTCGCATAAAATCGATTTGAAAATTATTTTACATGGCATAAAAATTCACAATTAAATCATAACCATAGAAATGGACTCGCGTGGTCCTTGGAATACGGCTGCCATGTGACTTTTTCATGTAGTAAATGACCGGGTGTTTCTACTTTTTATATATTTTAGATAAAAACCATCTTCAGGGGCTCCCTTTTCGGGGGCTGTAGCTCCCTTAGGAGGCATTTCTCGACCTATATGTATAGGGACTTTTTTCTTATTTATGCACGTAGAATCTGCTGTTAAAGTATGGTGCACTAATTTCAGGACACCCTGTATAGGAGTATTTTCGTTTATTATATGGACGACTTTTTGCCAAAATATCGTAAGCATCAAAACATTTTGTTTGGAAGTCCGTTTTAAATTATATAATATATTATAGCCTTTAGGTTTTATAACAAGTAAATAGGTAAAATTATAAACTATTTAAGAATTGTTATTATTTTAGGTAGATAGATAAAGATAAAATAAATAATTTTATAAATTTGTATTTTTATTTTTATATGTACACTGAGTCAAAAATGACTAATTACCACAGTTATTAGTGGAAATTAGTGAAAATACCGTCAAAAATTATGAAAGTGGAGCAGCTTTTGACGAATGCAGGGAACAGTTTTACATGAAAATTGACTGCTAAATGTTAAAAATACAAATTGCAAGAATTATTAGTGTCTGCTTTTTCGCTATGTAGTCATTTTTGACTAACCCATTTTTAGAGAGTATACTTTATAAAGTATAATCAATTATATTAACTAACTTTTTTTTTCAAAAGTACTCGTACTCTTTACTCGTGTTTTCACGATTACTACTCGTACTTGTACTTAAAATTTTACGAATCCTTTTTTTAGTACTCGTGCCCAGCTCTGTCAAATATTCCAAATTTGGCTTTAAACAAGTTTTAGGAGAAGTATCATATAAATACAATATTATAATGTTGATATCACATATGTGTTTAATTTTATTTTAAAATTTTACACCTAAAATACTCTTTATTTGCACATAAAAACCTTGTCACATTGTGAATAGGTTCACCCTGAAGCTAATTTCCAAAATTTTTGGTGAAAAAAACCAACCAGTTTTTATAGTAAACTTTAACAAAGTAGAAAAATAAAAAAATATCTTAAAAAATTATGTTTAATCAAAAGAAGAAAATAATATATTATAAGAACAGCCATTCCAAGCTACTCGAGAATTTTTGTAGCGTCCGTTACAATCAAAAATTGCGAGTAAAACTACCGTAATTATTAGGGATGGGATTTTAGTTATTTTACCTTTTTTCAACCGATGTAACTATTTGAAAACCAATAATGCCAAAATGTGTTTTAAAAGATTTTCTTTTATATGAACCTAACTTGTTTTCACCTTTTTTACCTTTTTTGGAGGTTTTTGCTTTAAACTACCTTTTTTTATACTTTTGTTACATATTTTTTTAACTTGTTTTCACCTTTTTTACCTTTTTTGGAGGTTTTTGCTTTAAACTAGCTTTTTATATTGTCAGTTTATTAAGTGACAAAAGGCATAATACTCAAAATATAGAAAAGATTCTTATTTGTTACTCAAGTAGCAAAGTTACATAGTGGGTAAATATTAGGTATTCCATATTTTTTAGTTCCTTCTTGTTTTAAGTTATATAAAAAGTTTTATTTTATGTTATCGTTTGTTACTCTAGTAGTAAATTTGGTAAATATCAGGTATTCCCTGTTATATTTTCAGTTCCTTATAGCTTTAATTAACTATTGGTCAGTTTATAAAAAATAGAATATTATGTATCAAGTTTGATAAACGCCATTTTATACACGAATTAAATTTAGGCACGAGCGAGCTTGCGAGGGAGTTCTTAAATTAATGAGTGTATAGAAAAGTTTATAAACGAGGTACATACTATACTTTTTCTACGACAAATACTTA